ATTAGCCTTTAATTAACTGGAACGCTAATCTTAATCTTTTAAGTTATTTTGCAACAAAATATTTTTGTTAGGTTGAAGAAGATAGTATTTGTTACTGTTTTTCCAATAAGTGGAATACTTTCAGAATGACCTTTTCGTCAGTAATTATAATAATATAAAATGTAAGAAGGCAAAGCTCATTATCACAAAAAAAAGTACTGTGTGATTACTTTTTGTGTATTTCACTTGTCAACATAAAATCACAGAGGAGCCTCAGCTGAGAGAAACTTACAGAGATCATCTGGCCTCTGTTAAAAGCTGGGTCATTGATTTGTCTTTTTCAGATCCTTGCCAGGCTAAATCAGATATTTCCAGGGAGATTCCACCACTTCTCTGAGCAACCTCTTCCAGTGTTTTCTTTTTTTCTGATGGTTCTTTCTTCTATCCAGACATAATTTCTCTTGAAGAAATTTGCACTTGTTGCCTCTTACTCTGTGCGTCATTCTGAAGACAATATATGTCCATCTTCTCTATATCTCCTGGGTATTAGAAGACTGTCCTCCCTTGGGCCTTCTCTTCTCTGGGCTCAACACATCCAATTTCTTGAACCTTCTGTAAAGATCTCCAGACCCCTAATGTTCCTCTGCTAGAAATGGATTAGTAGGATCAGAACTGGACACGATATTCCAGGTGTGTCCTGATCTGTTAGCTATACCCTTATTGATGGAATCCAGGGCTCATTCTGCATTCATTGCTGCAAAGACTGCTAGCTCAAGTTTAGTGCTTCCCATGAGAACTGGTGGCCCATGAGCCAGTGAAAGCACACTTAGTCTTACCCTAGGAGTTCAAACAGTAACATTTCTTTAAGATTTTGAATACCACATTTTATGTAAGCAGTTTGGTAAATAAGATTGCTTCAGCTCTCACCAGATCAGTAGGTATTATCTCTGGCTTCTACATTTGGAAATTAGGGACCAGATTTGTCTTCAGAAACTGTCACATTATAGCTAGGAAGGTTCTAATGAGTTGTACATGGAGAATTAATAAATCTGCATGAAGAAAAGACCTTTTAAGAATGGTCATTCAGCTGTTAGGAAAGACTGTTCAACAGTTTTCTACTGTGAGAAACATATCTTCTGTATGAAAAAAAAGAAAAAAAAGTAAATTTGACATTGTTTTCTGGAGAACATTACTGGCCTAGGGATTTTGAGACACCTTTTCACTTTGGATACTCTGTTTCAGAATCTAACTAGTACTTTCTTACTACTTTTTAAGACCAATTAATCTGAATTCATGACTGGCATTCCTGTATTGTGATAGGCTGCAAATAGAAAACAAAAAGAAGTCTGGTCTCAAAAAGGGCTACTTAAAATCTAAGTATAGGAAAATAAATACATAAAACAAAATACATCAGGATCAGGAATTTAAAAAAAAATAAAAAAATAAAAAGAGAAAATTGTACACATAAACTTTTCCTCAAGCAGACTGTGCATGACTAGAATGACCCAAAGAGATGTCTGCATTAGAGAACAGTGCTCAGAATACCAAATATGATAGTGGTGGTCTCCTTGGTAATGAAGGTAGGATGGAAAAGAAACTGTTTGCAAAAGGTAAACAGTACTAACTAAATGCAGCCACTCTAGTGAATGTCTCATAATCTACATTTATCAGATGCCAATAAAAGGAACAAGTTGTCTCCATGGAATAAACTTAGAGCAGAGCAACAGTACTCTTCATTCATGCAAGATACCATATCTTCAATGCGGGGACAGTGCCACTGTCTTCCTGATCGCTGATATTTCTTTCATCTAGACAGATGTTACTCTCATTCCTGTGTAGATAATTTAATTGTTTTGAAGTCAGTTGCTCTTCCTGGTATTTAAAGGTCTCTATGCCTATTGCAGACCAATCTGACAAGAAAAGCATCTTTAAGACAAAGAGAAAAACAACATCTCTCTCTTGAGACTATTTTCAAGTCTGAGTTATGCTGCTACTTCTCTAGCTATACACACTGCTTCAGTAGTCATAGAGTACCAGATGTGTTAGATGGGTAAGAAAGTCCATGAAATGGAGACAATAATTACATGTAATATTGAAATTAGAGAAAAGATAATAGATAAAAGTTATTAATGGAACTTCTAATGAGTGGTTTTAGGGCTAAACTTATTTAATATTTTCACTGGAAAAGAATCATGATTGTATAGTGAAATTTAGAGTTGACATAATGTTTGGAGTTGATATTAAAAATGGATGACAATCATGATGTCACACAGATAGAAGTGGAAGCCCCTGAGAACTGGTATAATAGAAATGGAATTAAATATATTAGTACAAAGTACAACATAATGCACTTAAAACTAATGACAAGAAATTATGTTATTAACATAGAGCTCATCAACTGGAAAAGATTGTTGCTGGAGAAGTTAATCAATGTATGTCATGTAACCAATGGGATACCAGTGTGATGTGACTAAATGTAAGGCTAGCAGATCTACCAGACAGACTGTATCATATGAAAAGGTAATACTAGATAATAGAAATTGTATTTCTGATCACTGACAATAAGGATTTAGTCAACCTGAATAGATTTCTTTTTAATCAACTTTTACAGAAACTTTTGGTATTTCCTACACTGACTTTTGGCAAAGAGTTACAGAAATCCACTATTTGCTGCATGAATACATAACTACTTCTGTTTGTTGCAAACTTCTTACTGACTAGATTTTTTTTTAATGTCCTGTGCTTTTACTGAAAGAAATAGTGGAAAATCTGTCCTTATTAATTTTCTACATAATGTCTTGATTGCATAGTTCTTTATTTTATTCCTCCTTAGTAATAATTTTCACTTTTTCTTGTAAAAGCAATTCCATAACCTCAGTCTGAACCTTTTCTAATTCTACCATATCTTTTTTTGAGATAATTTTTTTGAGAATTGTAGTCAGATCAGAGTAGGCATACTACTTAAGATGGGGTTTCTAACCATTCTTGTAATGACAATGCACAAAAAAAATGGGTTTGATAACCAAGGTAGTTTTAGTCCTTCTATCACCTTTGTTCCTGAATAAAGAACTGGAAGAAGTTGAAATGGCATGAACATATTTTCTAGAAAAGTCATAAAGTTGCATTAGGAAAAGGGTCATAGTAAATTTACTAACATGAGTTGGAAGAATAAAACATTTGATATCAGATAAGATGCAATTTGGGATTGCATTAGCTAGCTCTAATGATGATAGTCTGGGAGAAATAATTCCCATTGTATCTCATGTAGTCAAGACAACATATTCTTTATCAATAATGTAAGTTAAAATTTAATATAACATTGACTTCTAATACTGTACAGAAAATAAAGTTTTAAAAGATGTGTGAAGGACCTGTTTGTGAAAAAATACACAAAAAGAACAGAAGTGCTTTTCTAGTAGTCTCAAATGCTCAGTGACTCATAGACTCTCCTGAAAGGAAAAAAACCAACCAAACAAAAGACCAGAAAACCAAGTGAAAGTGCATAGAGCAAATTGTTCCTCTGCAGAAGAGGAAGTTTTATTTACATTGTATAGAAATGCTTTTCTTGGAGTACTACTCTCAGCTGCTGCAGGATGTGTTTAGTAAGCAAAGTTACAGCTGTGCATATCAAATCTGTTTTCACTGGACATGGTCTATGAGAGACAGCAATATGCAACAACAGGTCACAGTTTAGTAGCCTTAATGTAAGCAATTTTTAGGAAAGTACAGTGTAGTCTTATCACTAGTGGACCCTCAACCAGTGGAAAATGATGTCAAAATACTTTGGAGAAAAAAAAAGTGCAAAGTCAAATTTAGATCTGTAGTTAGCTGAGTTAAATTGCAGATAGCAGAAATGAAACAAAGGATGTTACATGTTTGCATTCTGTTCACTGGAAACCTGAATGTCTGTGCTGCTAGAAAATAATATAATGGCCACTGAAGACAGAGAAACAAATAGAACAATACAAATTACTAGACCTGATTTATGATCCTTGAAGCTCTTGCCTTTTATTGAAAATTACACATTCTATGTTATAAAAGGTAGCAAGACATAAAAACATTTTTGACAAAAGAGATATGCAGAGAATTGTAGGAAGTCCTTTTTCCAGATGTACAGCTATAGAATTTCTCAGGGAAGAATCAGTTGTCAAGGACATTTGAGATTAGTTTAATTCTTAGACTCTCTTAGACTCTTTAAATGTTTGAGATTAGCTTTGTTAATTATCTTAAAAAATAGATTTCTTATAAGTACTTGAAATTCTATTATCTAAGTGACAATTGATAGTTGCTGTTACTACCATATTTGTCTGAGAAAAAAGTTCCAGTGTGAGCATTTTGGAATTGGACTGTCATTCAACCTATGCAATATGCTAAACAAGCAGCAACTCAGATAAGGAACTAAGTGGAGCTAAATCAAATTTCCTCAGAGGCAGAGGGGAGAGGTCTCAGAGAAGACCTTCATTCTTTCCAGTGCTTCAGCCATAAGTACTGAAGGACTGGGAGTCATATGAAAGCCAAATCCATAGCATTTGGGGAAGAGATTTGCTAAAGGAGATTACCTAATCTCATTACCTAATGACTAGGGAAAGACAATGGAATGTGTGGACAGTAATATTAGGTAAAAATCAAAACAAATTACTTCTAGAAAGAAGCAAATATGAAAAGGAGAAATACTTAATTTTCCAACAACTTCTGCTGCATGATGTCAATACCTTCATGGTGTTTTAAGCCTGCTTAAAAGTACTGTGGTAATGGAGAGATCTGCTTTGAAATATAACCGGTTCTTATGGGACAATCTGAAAATGTCGACAAAAAAAACCAGTTAACAAAATCTGTAGATCACTACCAAAGTGTACTTTACACATGAAGTCTAAGAAGAAAGCGAACTATTTGGAGATCAGTGTTATTCTTTCATGTATGTTTCTATTTAAGCCATGTAAATTAGGCTTTTTCTAAAAATATATTACCACTAAACTATGGATTTTTTTCTTGTTTTATTTGTGTTTTGTTTTTTTAATAAGGTAAGAGGGCCCCCATCTGCAGGATCTCAAAAAGAAAGACCAGCAAAGCCCACCGCATTTCGCAAGTTTTATGACAGAGGAGACTTTCCAATTGCCGTTGAGCATGATACAATAGCAAACAAAATCGCCTGGAAGGTAAGTCATGGCACAGCTGTGACAGCCAGCTGAGCTTATTGAAGTGACATCTCTCATTGTCAAACAAAGTTAGCTTGCAAGTAAATACACTGAAATAATTTCTTAGCAAATGGAAGATGGTGGGAAAGTCATTAGAGAAAGGCCCCTGAGTCAGCTGTCTGCCTTGGCTAACAATTAAATTATATGCTGCAAAAAGGAAGATGACAGAGTTGCTTTGCCTTAGAGAATTGTCTCCTGCCCAATTCATCTCTATTTTTATGAGGACCTGGCAATGCAGCCTGTTTCAGGCAGTCCATCAAATGATGGAAGTGGCTGGATACAGTGAGCAGCAGCCATTTATCTCCCACAAATTTCACCTTCCTGCAGGACACTTCCAAATAGAAGCTTTAATTACCTAAATGGATAGGTCAAGATTGCCTGCTCCCTGAAAATGCAGAGCAGAATACAAACGAAGGCAGATTCTCATTCCACAGCCCTACTCGGTCTACAGCATATGTCAGACAGCGTAATCGCTGTCATACGTGCCTCTGTTACAGGCTGACCTCCACTGCTGAAACCATTACAGCTCCGACATTTCTCTGACAAAAGGTTAATTGGCTTCAAAATAAATGTATCGCCTAATGACTCCATTCTAATGCAGCTGTGTTTCTCTCTAAAAGGCTTAGTGATGTTATTTGTAAAACTTGCCAATCTTCTAAGTAACTACCGCAGACTTTTAAATTTAATTTAAAAAATGAATGCTGATCTTTAACCTGCTCCTACTATTTAATTATTTTGGTTATCATGAATTGCTTTATTTTTTGTCTTATTTATTGGACTAGAATAAGATTTTGCTGGAAGCAGTGATAGTTACAGAAAGTGAACACAACATGCATGAACAAAGTATGTCAGATTTGTAGAATGTTATAAATTGTTCATGTCAAGAACATGACACCAATTTTAAATGTAAAGCTATGTTAAGTCAACACTAAAAGGAGTGGATTCTACCTGTAATAAAGCCAACAGGATTAGTTCTATACTGTGTTAAGTGGTACTATATTTGATATTAACTAGATTTTTAAGGTAGCTTTTTCACTTATTGAAGTAGAGAAGAGAGATTTGTGCTATCATTTTGTTGCCGGTATAGCACTGTTGAATCAGCACAAGGAACAATTAATAGTTCTTGCACCAGTGGGAATCTCTATCCAACAAGACTTTACCTATGATCAAAATGAGATTCCAGTGCACTTGGGGTTTAGGCAACACTAAAAATTAGCTCACTGGATTAGAACTCACAGGTTCTGCACTCTGATCTTTCATCACCAGGTGATAACTCAAAGGTGATCTTCAAGCAACTACAAAAAAATCTGCACAATTTAGTTTTTCTCTTAAGTCTTTATAATTTCTAATTTCTCAAAATCCAACTGAGAGGTACAGAAAAATTACCTCATTTTAATTGCATTTTGATACATCTATTTCTCTCATAAGGACTGGCATTCCAATAGATGATGCTAGTGACTGCTTAGTTGACTTAGGACATGAGGAAATGGAATGAAACTATGTAAGAAGTTCATATGGGACACTAGGAAAAGGTTTTTCACTGAGAGGGTGTGACTGGAACAGATTCCCCAGGGAAATGGTCACAGTACCAACCAGTTTCTGGACAAAGCTCTTAGTCATATGATTTAGGTAGTTCTGTGAGGACCAAGGAGTTGGATTCCATAATCCTTACAGGTCACTTCCAGCTTGCTAATTTGTTATCTACAAGCCTTCCAACCACAAAGGAATGTTTAGAGTAAATGTTATATTGCTTTATCTGACTGTTGGAGTTGTTTGGAAACATAGTACCTTAATCAGTCCCAACAACAGAGTCCCTAGTCAAAGATCCAGCATGTATTTTTTCTTAACACAATTTGCAATCCTATAGATCTAATGTACACCTACCCCAGTAAAACACTGGCATTTATCTAATGCAATGCAGGACTGAGATGTAATGCAACAGTTTCTTTTGAAACAAGTTATTGGACTTCAGAATGAATTCGAGAAGGCAGCACAGTAGCAGAGTATTCCATGCATACATTAGCACAGCCAGGTCAAACCTTATTTCCCTTATTCCATGCTGCTTGGTTTAGTCAAAATTCAGTCCAGACGGAGTTCTGTGGCAGATACTCAAGAAAACAATACTGCAGTAGTAGAGTTACTTGAGGCTTTTGTTTAATTTGACACGCAACCATCATAGATTGTTGTGCAGTTTAAGTAGATGAAGCAGGCAAATGGGAGTTTTCTAGTTCAAAGATAACATTGGATAGCTTCTAAAGTCTGACAGTGCTGCAAAAGGGTGAGAATGTTGTTCATCACTAGTTAATATTTAAAGGTACAGATAAATTAAGGTTTGTATTTTTCACTTGTTATATAGACGTGCATATCCAACAGATATCTAATGGCTAATTTTGATCAGTTCATCATATTTAATTGCAAATCCGATTAAATAAGTAAATTTTTGCAAATATATTTTACTCAATACTGCTGAAATTCATGGCAATGAAAAGATATTTTGCTTATGAAATGTGTCTAGGCAAAATGTCCTCTTAAAGGTTGACTGAACTATACTTATTTGCAGATGAAATCAATGGTAACTGTGATATTTTAATCCTGTTATAATTGCACAATATCAGTATTTTATTTTTAGAGGTTTTTTTTTCCTCTGTTTAGTTGTGATGTATATCATGCTTCATTTCACTCATTAGTTTGTCTACCAAGTGGTGCATGAGAGAAAATGCAAGAGGGTCTCAGAAACCTGATTTTTTCTGACAAAAGAAAAAACTACAGGATTTTGTTCTTTCCAGAAAAATGCACTGTTATTTTTAATTTCCTTCCTTGTTTTTTATAATTACTGAAACAAAACTGTCACTGTCAGACATTAATTTTTTTGTTTGAAAACAGTTTGAATTCTTGTTCACTTTGTTGTAATTCTACAGACAGAATACAGTCAGTTTTAAACTACAGTAGGAGAATCTAAAATGGTTTAATATCCATGAATTATATTAATATGTACCAAAAAATATGCACAATTGACCCTTGATATCTTGACAGTTCTGCATATCCCTAATTTTAAGCCCATGATTAATTTCCTGTGAGAGCTGGCTACATATCACTATGGTTGTAGACCTAAATAAAATATAAATTTAAACTATTTAAACTAGAACTATTTCTGAATAGTTGCATGTGTTGAATATTTAATTATGAAATAATAATGCTTTATTGTTGTTTAGCTTAATTATTTCCAAAATAATTTTTAAATTTATAAAGAGGCATTCTTACTCCAATTTAATCCTAAGCATAGATAAGATTAAACTGTGCAGATAAACTGTGGTGTTTACCTTGGTGTCTTTTCTCAAAAAAAAAGGGACCAAAACAAATTGGATCTCACTACAAGACCATTATAGTAAGATGTGTGTTCTGTGTGAATTCTCAGACTTAGTCTTTAAGTTTAGACAGGCATCTCTTTGAATATTTCTGTAATTCTGGTTGGTAAGTTTTACTATTGTTACAAGTTCAAATACACCTATTTCAACCTGGTGGAAGAAAATATATGAAAATATTTGTTTACAACATATTATATACAAGAGTGGGAAATCAAACCTGGTTTTAAGGAACACCATCCAGAGGAAAGGAAAAGGATTTTGAAAACTCTGATAATACCAAACTAAAATTATGTGGTACTAGAGGCTATAATCACATTTATTACTAAAAGAGGAAGATATGATTGTCTTGGTGTTCCTAAAGTTTGTTTTCAAAACTGTAAAAAAATTGTCCTTTTGTTGTTTTCAAAAGGTGAATATAGAGAATGACTTATTAATTATGTCTTTGAAAACAAACCCATCTTTTTTCTGACTCAGTACACAACTTTCTGATTTTGATTGCAATTAAAGTGAAAAAATAATTACAAAATTAATTCAAGACTTTTCAACCCCATTCAGGGGATGTACCAGCAGTCAGTGAATTCTTTGCTAAATGGCATACACTCTGTAATATTTTAATATCAAATTTTAAACCTTTATTTTTATCCTTCCTCTGTGATTATACATAGAGGTCTTTATATATCTGTGCTTTAAAATTACTGCAAATGTGTATTACTTTTTTTTTTGATAAAACAGTAGTTTCTGAAATCTAGAAATAAACAACTTCTTTGGTTATTTAACAAATGTATGAGCGTCTTTCCAAATATGAAGCATTTGGTTCTGTCCACTAGCAGAGAATGAATAATAATGGTATGGTTTGAAAATGTGTGTCAAACATTAAACTTTGGAACATAAATTGTTGTTAATTTAGAGTTAGGTAACATTAGAAAGTGATCTTTTTAGGGAAAGAATGTCTTAAAATATTTATAAGCTCTTTGACTACTTTCCCACAGTTTTTTTTTCAGCTTATGTATATCACAGTTTTCTTTCAAAATGTAGTAATACATTCTTTTGCACAATCTCATACCAAGCTATGAATAATAAAAGCTCATAGTTCAGGTCTGAAAAGGACTTCCATTTTTAAATATACGATACTGAATTAAAAAAGGTCAGAATGCAATTAAACCTTTGACTAAGAAAGTTGATAAAACCAAGAAAGTATTTCTGAATTATTAAGAATGTGTTTGAAATGCAGTCTCTCTGTATCCCACAGAAAGTCATCAGAATGTTTGAAAAATTGTTTTTTAGAGAGTGAATTATGAGAACCATTATGCAGAGATAAAAAAAGCTTCCATTCTTTAAAAGAATTTTAGCCATTCCAGAGGAATGAAAACTAAATTCAGAAATGCAAACTTTTCAAGCAAAATATCAGCATGAACATGATTTCCATCTTTTGGGGTTTATGTGCTTTTTCCAGAATAGCTATGTTCACTAAGGATGTCACTTCTACCATTTTAATTTCTCTTCATCTCCTCTTTCCTACACAGTTATTTTTTTTTTTGTCAGGACCTAGTATAAGCTATAATAGCAAAATTACTTCTTGCTGATAATAAATAAATG